GGGAGCCTTTCTCCGCCTCGCCGCTTCGCTCGAACGCCCGTCCCCTCCCGCCCGCTCCTCCCCCCGGCCGCCGTCTCCTTCCCTGTCCGCAGGTCCCTTGCAGCCCTCCGTCTTCCCGGCTGCCGTCTGTGTCCAGCCTGCTCCCCTCGTTTTGCCTCCTCATCGCCTTCTTCCCCCTTTCCCTTCCCTCCACTCCAGCCCTCCACTCCTCCGACGTCCGGCCCGGGCCCTTTCCCTCTCGGCTGCCTCTCCGCCCCCACGCGCCTGTGGCCCCTCCGCCCTCTGTGTCCGCTCCTTGACCTTTTCTCCTGCCCCGTCCTCCCTCCAGCATCCTCCACAGTTCCGGGCCGCTGTGCCTCTCTCTGGTCTCCTCTCTTCCCTCTCTGCCAGGACTGCCCGCTCTGCCTGGCCCAGCGCCCCAGGCCAGCACCTCCCTCCTCTGAACCAGCCTTCCCTGGGGCAGCCCCTCGCCTTCCCATCCCTTCCCGCTGCCCACTTCCCGGACGCCCGGCTCGGTCCCCTGTTACTCCCTGGGAGTATACCATGTGCAGATTTAGACCCAGAGTCCAGAGGACATGGCACGTCTTATCCTCATCCCTCAGGGAGCCTGGACCCCCCGGCCTCGGCTCCGTCCTCTTTCCAAGCCAACGACCCGATCTCCCAGGATTCTCTGCCCAAGAGAGCGCCATGTGAGGGGGTGGCTTCTTCCCGACTCCACCTCCCTTCAGAGGGCACCTGTGCGCTTGGATGATTAAATACTCGGAGCAGAAATTCTGTCCTGTAGTTTCTCTCCCCCCCCCCCCCCCCCCCTTTCCTCCCTTTCTTCTGAAGATGCGCTTCTGGGGCCGTTGGAGCCACGGCTGCAAGCAGCCAGGGGGGCCGGGAGGGTCCCGGCACACACCAGCCGCGCGCGTTGACTCTCCCTCCCTGCCCCTGCCTCGGGCGCCCTCCCCAGCCGCAGGTGCTCCAGGAACCACGAGGTTCTTGGCTCTCACTTGAGGCCGAGGAAAGCCGCGAGCTGTGGGCAGAGGAAGCCAGGAGGAAGGAAGCCAGAAAAGCTGGCGCAGACCCCCGGGCGAGGGGCTGCGGGCGCCGGGAAGCTGCAGGCGGGCGAGGGCTGGCTGGGGAGCCACGCTCGGCCCCTCCCCGCAGGCGCTAAGAAGCCTGGGCCGGGGACGGCCGAACCGCTGGACCAGTGAGCCAGCGGGGGGCAGGGGCCGGCTGCGGTCTGACGCCGCCCCTCTTTCCCAGTAAAGGCTGAACGTCGGGGTCGCGGCTGAGGAAGACCTCGGAC